GAGGGGGCACTGGGGAGATGAGCTGTCGGTTCTCAGCCCCGCGCCGTGGAGGAAGTGGCGGAGCCGCGGTAAGAAAACGCGCGACGAAAGGACGACGTAAATGGTGCCTCCGGCCGCCGGCGACATCTTCCCCTCCCCTCTGCACCGAAGGCAGGCACCGTGAACGGCACGGGGATTCACGGGATCGGTCATCTGCCTGGAGGGTTTAACTGTTCAACGCACGGTGACGCTAAACCTCGCGTTCAGGCTAGGACCCCAGGACAAATCCCAGGATAATGTATTCATACGGCTCAGAGGAATGAGGATGCTAGCTGTAAAAACCGACTCTTTTGGCAAGAAATCGCAGGGACTCGCAGAGCACTTAATCTGCTCTGACCCTTCCTGGCAAGGCTGACCGTATGCAATACCAATAGGTACATGATACTCTTTGCTTTCAGGCAGCGCAGTGACGTGCAGTGGTTGAGTAAGGGAAAAGCTGCATCACAGACAGCAGAAACAGACACAGGCTATTAGATGACAAGCGATTTTATTTTGCAAAACAATCACTATACAGCAACAAATACAATTGCAAATTGGATTGAAAAACATGAACTACCTACCACCAGCCATTCAAGAAATGCCTTTTATGGTAACAGGCTCTAGAATTATCAGAAAAAAACACAGGTTTGTAACAGCAGACTGTATTCCTCAAAATCCCAGCATACAGCATGTTTTATTTGTTGGCTTTTTCTCTTTGCTAAAGTTGAAGTGGCTTTTACGCTTGACTTTTCCACGTGGGAAACTAATTTACCTTCCTGCAGTGGGAACCGCGTTCGCAGCCGCGCTAGTGAGGGAACGCTACACACACCCGGGCTAGAATTCTGTCTGCTTCAGGTTTCACAGCCAAAGCGAGCTACTCTTCAAGGCGTTTGCCTGTGAAGGGACGTTTTCGTCCCCTATTTGGTTTTCGAACCCTATTTGGTCCAGCGCGGCAAAAACTTCTGCTCACGTGTGGTATTCCACACAGGCTGCCTTCCGACTCCCTTTGGGTCGTGTGCATTGGCAAATTTGTATTTGTAAGCAGTCGTGATGAGGTTACTACTGTACCTTAACATAGCATTGAATGGATAATACCATTTACTGCTGTGCAGTGGAAGTATACACAGCCCTAATGAGCGCAAAATTATCCTCATCAGCATTAGTTTTACCTTTACTGTTGCTGGACACAGGTTTGCTCTACTTTGATTTCTTTCTGCTTGTGGTTACACAGAAATAGAACTCCGCAGCTGGGGCAGAAGCGCCTTTTCTTTTGTCTATACAGTTTGACAGATTATTAATTTGAGGCTCCCCCCCAAGCTATCCAAACAGGGTTAACCGTTCCATTTGTCTGGATTATCTCTGCATTGTTACAAAGTCGGGTCTCAGATACCCAACGTACCTGCTGGCTCAACACGCCTGCGGAAAAGAAACACTACGGATGCAGTTTCCGGGAAGCTGGCTCCATCCTTAGTGGGCATTACATATTTACAAAACTGTTGTTTTCAAAACCAACACTCCTCTTGAGGATTAAAGACTAATATGAGCTTTTTCAGGGAACATCTAGAGTCATGTAACAACTCGGTTTTTATTTAACAGCACAAAACTCTTGATTTTTTATTTTCATCTAACTTCACAGCATTCTAGGATTCTTTCTATGGAAGGATGATTACGATTACAAAGGTCTTGGCTTGAATCAGGACAAGAAAGCTCATTTTAATGCATGAAATAAATGACTTGGTGTGTCACACCAATCTAACTTGGGACTCATAGGCGTATTAACTAAGCTTCATCATCTGTATGTCAATTTTAAAAGCAGAATAAAAATACTTGAGTCGCAAGTTAACACTGTTCTGACTAGCTGGTGTCCAGCTTCAGAGAAGCTGAGGTTCAG